GTCAACATGTTCAGGATAACTGGAATGGTTTGGAGATAATCTCTCACCCTTAAGCTATGACAAAGTAAAAGATGGAATAAATAAAAGTCTGCTAAATCTGTGAATTTCAAAGAAATCTGTGAACGTGTCTCTCTCTTTTTTTAATAAGATATAGAGCTAGCCTGTGGATTGACTTACTTTAATTGAAGATAACAGAGATGTAAAGTGCATATAAGGAAATGTAAAGAAATAGAAGCTATAAAGAACAGAATGGATATAGTAATCCAGAACATAGTCCCAGTTATGAGTTTACAGATCAATCGTTTTTGATGAGATCTAGGTTGTGCTAAAATGGGTGGAAAGCTGATCACCTATAAATGGTTCCTCAGATGGCTGTAGAACTAGGAGTGCAAATATGCCCTTTAAATCTTGTATCATAATGGAAAGATGATTTATGTTTTTTATTTATTATTTTAATTACCTGTAATCAGTCTTTAGCTTAACAGGTTATTCACAATTGTGTTTATTTCACTCAGGGAAATCACTGCCCATTTGGAAGGGTAGAAAATAATTGAAGAAAGTTTATTCTTTTATTCCTTTGCAAATGACAGCAGTATCTGCTATATTAAATTCTTCATGGATTCTATCCTCTACTTTGTTAAAAATTACTTTTTCTCTCACTCATTTTGGGCAGACTTGCTAACCTTTGCAGGCTAAATTGATGTTTGCTCATTAAGAAACCCTGTTGATTGGCTTTTAGATGTATCTAATAAGCCTTTCAAAACAAATAGAATATGCAAAAAAAAATCACTCCTTTATGGGGGGAGATTCCTCAGTTATCAGGATTAATTACTTCTCTTGTTGTCACATGAAAAGCAGTTTGTACCCCCCAGTGTAGGTCAGTGCAAGGGTAGGTTGGTGATGGTCGCTTAGTGACAGGCATAATAAGTGAACATGTCCTGTTGAGCTATGACCCTGCAGACAAGACATTGTCGAGTAAAATGGCCACAGAAGATACACAGAAGGCATAATCCACTTCTAAATATTGACAGTAGGAATTTCACTGCTATTCTCCTTCTTTTTCTTTTCTGGTAAACATGTCAAACTCTATTGCATTTGTACCCTGCATCAGTTTTCTAGCATTTAGGAACGTAAGAAAGCTAATGACCCGTGAATAGATGAGATGTCAAATAAAGCTATTTTTCTTCAGATCCAGTGTCTTGCCAGTAAGAGAATGGCCTTACATCCTTGCAAAAGCAATAGCATTGTCCAGAAAGACAAATTTTCTTCACTTTTTTGTAGGTGGAAAACTATATTAATGACATGCATGCAATGACATATATGTATATATAGTGACATGCAAAAAATCTGATATGTCCTGTCAAATGTGCTGATGTTAGTGGATGTGATTAACTGTTTGGGATTAAGTGCCTAAAATATACTTGAAATCAATGGCGAAACTCTGGATGTGTCAACACTGAGCACTGCCCAAAATCCCACCTGCAATATTTAAAAATACAGCTGTATATTTTAGATATATGTAATATATGCAAAATGGCAAAGCCTGGAGATGTATGCAGATATCTGAGTTTCTTTTTTGTCTACAAGGTGGAACACAATGGTCTATTTTTTTTTCCCTTTTCATTTGATTTTAATAACACTAAGGCTGTTCTGACAAGCACATTTCTGGACTATCTTATTTTCCTTGAGACTTTCACATGGACATCTTTGATTACACAATCTTGGAATTTTCAAGAGGAAAACTGACTGCATTTACAATGCTATCTTGTCTTTAACATTCGGCAAACTTTAAAGACAGCATCAAGTCCCGTTCCCAGGGTGGTGTCCGGTTCCTGGCCTTGGTCAGGCTCCAGCACTTGATGTGTTGCTGCCGTTGCCCTCTGCCTCCCTGCCTTCAATCACGAGCTCACGACCGCGGCCTGGGAGAGCGTGCAGTGACATTTGGGGACTGCGTCAGGACGTGTCACTGCAGAGCGGCTGCCCCGCGCTGCCGTCCACGGTGGGGAGCTGCTCTGCTGCTCTACCCAGGCACTCGTCCGTGACTGCACCACCTCCACCAAATTCATGCCCTGAGAAACCTGCCTCTCTGGCAGTAGCTGCTCATTTTTCATCCTCACAGGCTCCTTTGGCAGATCCTACAGATAGTTTTTCCTGTGCACAGAATTGTCAAGAACCACCTACTGTTGGGTGCTTTTAGCCTTCCTAGTGCCTGAACAGAGAAGGAGCTCAGGACAGCTTGCAGCCACCATTCCTGCCTTCTGTAGGAAGGTCTCTGCCTTCTTAAAGCTGGGTAGAAACACTGTCTCAGGAGAACACCTGAACCTCCCATTCTAGGATGGTAACAGATGTGATCGAAATGCAGGAACACGTTGCTTCCGTGAAAGTGTAAAATTGCTCAGTGTGAGGATGCTCTCAAGCCCTCTCAACCAGTATGTCCAGATTCCTCGTCACAGAAGCAGAGCTATATTCTTGTATCAGCTTATCTCAAATCCTTCATATTTAGCTTTAGGAATATTATTTCTCAACTGAAAAGCAATAGACTCCTAGTCTTTAAGCATCCATGACAGACTTGCTCGTAACAGTGCAGTGCACCATTTCACAGCCCCAGCATCTCAGGATTTAGATTCTTAGTTGGCAGGTGTAAAATGTGTAATTGATTGCAAGATTCCATATAAATTATTTATTCAAAGATTTGCTGCTTTTTTCACCCCACCTGAGTAGCTGGACTGAATGAATGTTCATGTCCAGTTAGGAGTGTGATTGTCTAGAGAAATCACAGGGGAGCTTAGTGTATTTGCATAGTATTGCCATTCAAATTCATGGTAACATTTGTGGCACAGTTCAGTTCAAATAACTTCTTTATTTAGAAAATGTATTTAAAGTTATCTTGCTTAAATTCTTTTCAAGTGACTTATATTTTTAGTATATTTATATGTTTAAGTGTATCCTTCCAATCTTTTGAATAGGAGTGAATGTTTGTATATGCAGAAATGCTTCTGGATCCATGGCTTTAATGAGAAATATACAGAGATAAGTGGAAAAATGAAACTAATTTAGATGCTAAATGTTAGTTAATTAAAATTAACCTCTACACTGCATCTCTGTAGACTGTTAAAGGAAATAAATGGGTCCCAAAAAGCATAAATGAGCAGTTTAGAAGACTCATTAGGTATTTATTTCTCCCCATTTACTGTGCTGGATACTCACAGAGGCTGATAGAGTTATTATGCATGGAACTGGTAGGAAATACTCAATGGAAAATGGGGTACCACTGACTCTTAAAACAAAACAAAAACAACAGAAATAAACCAAAAAAGAGATGAAGGCAGTGCCCTCATCTTCTTAACATTCTGCATAAAATCTTTGTACTTCGGTGCATTTGTTCAAAAGTGGAGGCTTGACTTCTCGGCCTTTCTCAGACTGAGGGAGTTCAGGTCCACATCTCAGAATAAACTTTTCGTATACAACCTCTAATACGAAACTATATACAATGCTGAGGGAAAGCTGCTGAATTTAGAGCAGCTAATGGGCTAATGAGAGTTTAGACTGTCAGAATTTAGTTACCTATCTTAGTCAGAGCTCGTCTCCAAAAGTTCCTTCTATAGTCAATGAAAGAGACCTTTCCAGTGGGTTATTCACAGTATCCAAATCAGGCTCACTTATTTCTACTGTGTTTGATGCATACAGATATTTGTATTCAGTTGTGGTAGGGAGCACTTAGAATGGCCTAAAATAGCTCAACAGAAATTATACTTGACCGTGTTTGAGTGGAAAATACACAGTACAGTTGTTTACGTGACACCGTTTCCCTCATATATTGACAATGAAATACTTTCTCTTGGAGTAAAATGATCTGTAGTGCTTGGAGTTCTCTTCTGCCACTGAAATATTCACAGATTGCACTCATGTCCAGATTTAGACTTAAACTGTTTTTCAACTTTTACTGTTTCAAAATATTTGCTTGTTATGTTCCTAGCTTCTGGAACACTTTGCTGTAAGCATGAGGGCAATAGGATCAAGGATTGTTTCTTCTTCAAGGCATGTGTTTCTATTTGCTTGATTTGAGAACTTCTCTGTAGCCTATTACGGGGCAGAAGAAAATGTGATGCATTTCCAGCACTTGCTGTCTCGATGCAAAGGAAGGGAATGTCCTCTGATACTCTTACTTTCTGACCATAATGTTGTTTCGTGGACTTCGAAAATCGACTTTACACAGCCTGTGAAAAGTGGATGTTTATAAGTGTCCTTAGCCACTTCTTGTTATATGAAGCCTCTGAGCACCAAACTTTCATCCACTGTACCAGAATGGTATGTGGCTTGGGACATTTTGTAGGCTTGTTAGCTCAAGTTTGCTAGCAATTTCTTGTAAGTTTACCTTAGAGCTGTCCAGTAGCTTTTTACACCACTTTACTATGAGAAAATTTTATCTAGTGAGGGACTATCAGTAGTAGTAGTTTTGTGACCTTTGGTCAAGGGAGGCGGATCTTCAAATCTTCATTCACCCTTTCCAAAGGAGTGCCAGCTTCACAGCGTGTCTTTCGAGGCTGAATTAAGTGTTTCAGAGGTCAAAAATGGACCTTGCCAAGGGAGGAGTAACTTTCTACTCTTCCCTTTCCAGGGGCTGTCCTGATGGTGTTTCCTAAGGAAACACTGCCGGCAGTGCCTGAGGCTCTGGTGGGCCAGGAGAACCACACTCATGTGCTTGGAGGTGTAGTCATGAAGTCCAGAGCGTCTTTCATGGTGCTGTCAATGGAATAACCTGAGAGCGAAGTCGCTGACCAAAAGCTGCATAGCTTTCATTTCCCCTTTCCTTCCTCAGTGATTCTCATGGAAGAGGATGTGAGTCCCGAGTCAAGACAGTCAGAATTTGCTCACAGAAAGAGTATGTGTGATAAGGCCACGGCGGGGGGGAGGGAGGCTCCTTTTCTTTGCTTTTCCCTTCCAGTGTAACATTATGAATGTGAGTGGATTAAATACTGGGGACTGATGTACCATTGTTAATGACTTTCTTCTTTGCTTTTCTAGGATCTAGTTCAGGATCAAAATTAAAAGTTCCTGAGCTGAGTATAAATGGCACACAGCACGTCATTCAAGCAGGCCAGACTTTAAATCTCACATGCAGGTAAACAGTTGAGCTGGCTTCTAAAAATTTGGCTGGGAGGTTATACACCTGAAGCTTTTTTTTTTTTGTAACTGTAATTAGGAAAAAAAAACCCTTACGTTGTGGGGAAAGGTGGGGAGTGAACTTCAATGGCAATTGTTTAATAGTTCTTTGTTGTTTCTGTTGTTGTTTTTGGAAAACAAGATAAAAGAGAACCCCAGAAATAGCCTGATATAATAAAAAAGAAAGCTTGGGAACTAAGCTATATAATTGCAGACCAACATAATTGTTTCTGCTTCCTTATCTGTATTTGCAGGGGGGAAATGGTTCATTCATGGTCTTTGCCTGAAACTCTAAGTAAGGATAGCAAAAGGCTGAAAGTAATTAAATACGCCTGTGGAAGGAATGGGAAGCACTCTTGTAGTAGTCTGACCTTGAGCAGAACTCAAGCAAGTGACACTGGAAACTATAGCTGCAAATATCCAACAAGTGCTGTGAAAAAGAAGAAGGAATCTACAGTCTATGTATTTATTAATGGTAAGACTACATTTTTTTAACACTTCTTGGAACTTTCATTTCAATACAGTAAAATGGATTAAAAATGCACTTCAGCTATGGTGAAATACAGGCTTTTCAATGTTTTCAGCTTGCAAAATATCATGACAATTTATCAATTTGTTGTATTAAATTTGCTTTCTTACAGCTCGCAAGTACAAATGCTAAAGATTTATCTGTTATGGGAAAAAAAAAGAGGAAAGAAACAGACCAAATCCAACAAGTCAATTTGAGTAACTAGAACTTCACAAGGAAGTAGACTAGAAGTGAATCTGTGAAATTAGTGTTACAGAAGTCGTATTTTACAGAATCAAATACTAGTCAATGAAAACTGTACGCCTGTCACAATATCTGCTTTAAACTGTCACTGTACGACTGTAGATTTCTAGACAGCTGAAAGATGCTGATAATTCTTTCCAGATCACAGAATTTTCTTATCCTGTGGAAAGTTTATGTTTGCATGTTAGCTTCATTCAAAACTAACTGACTTCACTTTACACAGATTGTAAAAATCTCAAATAAGCAGAATCAAGCCACATACAACCTCATGTTGTTGTGAAATATGTGGGAGATGCTGGAATTAGGTCAGTTAAGCTATAGTAGAGATTGTTTGCTGGTCTTGTTTTCTTCCAGGATATTAATCAGACACTTCTCAGAAGAACTGAATTCAATTGAAATAATAATAAAAGAAGCCCTCTAGGTTTGACATTTAACTTTGTACCTTAGTCTTTCTTGATTTTTACAGAAAAAAAAAGTTTACTGTAAGGTAAAAAGATTACTGTAAGTAAAAAGATTACTGTAAGGTATCATGATTCACAGATTTTGGAAGCCTGGATTAGAGAGAATGTGCAACTGGAATTCTTCCAAATTACGTGTCTGCTGCTTCTAACGAGTTCACATCAGAGTGAATTAGCCTTTGTTTCCATTTGGTGACATGAAGTGTGGGACTGGTGCTGTGAGAAAGCAGAACAAAGTGGACCTCTCACTACAGTGGTAGAAAACAAGATACTGCTCTCGGTTATTGTGTGTGGCCTTGATGAGAATTATTGAATAATTCATGCTGTTCATCCTGCTTTTCACATCTGAAACATAGCACAGAGTATTTTCTCACCCAGCTATTTACCTACGTGAACTGTCCTAATTCACCAGCTGTGAATTGGCTTTCACCAACTGCAGAAGCACCATGAAGCAGAATGGAAGTAGGTTATTCATCCAGTGACCAACATTTCCCACTGCCTAGCAAAACTTGTGATTTTCTTGGATGATTTTTTTTCACGTTTCCTATTTTGTGACCACCTCCTTGAGTCTTCTGCCTTGGATGTCCTCTCTAACTAACTGAGATCTACCCCAAATCCTCTCCACTTACAACATGAGAAGAGCAAAGATAGCTGGAACCTGGCCTGAGCACTGCTGTGCTAAAACAAATTTCGCAGTCTATGAGGTCCCTTCATGTTTTCCTGGTCTCTTTCCATCTTGAGGTGTAAATTCTTCTGGATCCTGAATTACAACAAATGGAAGACATGATTTTTCTAACTTGTTCACTGCTTCCTGAGTTGTGTGCAGCTTCCTTACATATGAAAGACAACCTAAATCAGCTTTATGAAATATGGTTATCTGCTTAAGGGATTCCCATGGTGGAAGAGAAACTTGTCATTGGAAAAATAGTAGTGTCTTTGGTCAATCCCCCTTCCCACACCACGAAAAAAAAAACGAGATAAACGAGAGTGTCTGAATGTTCTAGTTATGTCCATATTCCAAGAAAATTCAGGTATTAAATGTTGATATCACTTTTGAATGCAGAAATTAGATCGAGCTTCACTCCCTTCCTTATTTTCCGAAAAGAAAACTGTTTATGCTTACTAGGATTAAGTCCTAGTAAGCACATAAATGAGTTTGGCAAATGGCTAATAATGGGGGAGGTTCATGCAATGCCTGTTGAAAGTATTACTCCATTTATCCAGAGCACGCACAAAAAAGGGGGGTGCTACTTACTTTAATCAGTATAGCACTGGCATTTGTAACCCCTCAAACCAAAACACTTGAATCTCTTAATATAAGTCATTGGTAACTTATTAACTGAATACCTGCATGTCATTCAAATATCTGGCTCAAGTGTGATGAGATGGGAATAAAAGAAACTTTTTAAGACCATGCTTCTTGAATTTTAATTGTATTTTAAATGGATTTCTGGGTGCTCTGGAAATAAACATTTGTAAAATTTGGGCCACTCCTAGTTTTGGATTGTTTCCTGTGGCAGGACATTGTGTCAGTCCATTTCCCGTATTAGCTCCATGTGGATGACCAAGGTACCTGTTTCCCATGTCCCAACATGCAGCAGATGAACAAATAGTTGCTATTTACAAACACAGAACCTGAATCAGGAAAGCTGATATTGTTTGTACAGGAAGTCATCACTTACTGTTTTTAAAATGTTATTCATTTCCGTAATTGAAGTGATGCTGAATATGGAGTGGATAAAAACCAATAAACCCGTTAAGTTCTTTGCTTCAGTAATGAGCATACTGTGGCAGAAGGCAAGCTTATAAGAGGGGGACTGCGAATCCATGTGCCCCTGTATTACTTAAAGCATTTCTGGAGTCCTGTGTGGGAGTGATCAAGAACAGGCAGGCTGGTGACATCCCTTTCAGGAGCAAGTCAAGACAGCACACGTCTTTTGGCTGGAGAGGTCACCATTGAGTTGCACAGGGGAGCGAGCGCATCACTGGAACACTTGGCCACACACAGCTCCACAACGGAGGCATCGAGCAAGGGAAATGAATTCTCTCCAGAGCCTTGGACTTTGCTCTAAGAAAACTCATGTCCTGACTTCCACCATGAGCCGTGGGAAAAATCTGAAACGCAGCAAAGTCTCTTTGCCAGTTTCTTCATTCGCTCCAATGGAAAACAGCTCTGATCTCTGTCTTGTTAAACGGTTGCAGCCTGGTAGTTAAATGGAAAGATTTGTAATGAATTGTCTCTGTGTACATAGGAGTATGATGTGAAAAATTTTCTGCTTGAAAAGAGATCATTATGGAACAAAGACATTTAAGAAACACCAAATTATCAGTAGACTATTTTGAAGCCTACACAGATTTCCCTAGGGATGGTGCAAAGCCTCATATTTCTATCTGCCATTATTCTAGTAGCTCCAAGATACTCTTTTTCCAATTGGTGAAGCTCATTTTTTTTCTTTCTTACTTGAAAATCTGCAAATTCTTTATTCTCATGGACTCCTTCCTCTTAGTCTCTTATCACCTGTTACCATGGTAGAACAGAGAAAAGCCTATTAATTAAATTACATTTACATAGCAAAGTTATATCTTAGCAGAAATTTACATGAACTTGAATCAAAGTTCAAATGTTGTTGCCTCTTGTGAAAGCGATAACATTAGGCTAACAAGAGTATGTTTTAATTCTATTACAATAGACATTTTTTCTCCACATGAAATTATATCTAGCTTTAGGGTACTAGCTCATTCCTGAATCAAGTTTGTCTTCTTGTCTCTCCTTGTATTCCTCATGTGCACATGTGCTGACCATCTGGGTGCTCTGCCTTGCAAAGTGACCCGTTTGCTGGCACTCTGGTCAACAACTATTCAAACTATTCTGTCTTAAAAGCAGAACTCTAGGATAAGCCAGTTAACTATATTCTTTCAAGGCTTACCAAAGAGAAAAATGTGCCTTCAAGTATATACTTCTCACCACTGGCTTAGGGGAATAGGCTTAGATTTGGTGTCTTGCTTCAGAGATGATTAAATTTGGATAAGACAAATCAGAGTGGAGTAAATAAGAGAGGGTTTTTATGATAGTACAAATCCTGAAAATTATGCTTATAGTTCACTAGTCCCTAGAATTTCAAGTGTGTCTATTAATTGTGGGTATTTGAGATGTGTCTCAGGTTGGGCAGTCCAAAATGAAACGCTTTATCATTAGTGAGTGCTTCAAAATATAGGTCTCTGACATGACAAGTTTGTTGGTGCTTTGTGGTGTTTTTTTTTTTGTTTGTTTGTTTGTTTGTTTGTTTTGAGTGCATTTTCAAACTCTAGAATTGCCTTCTGCAAGTGCTGAGCATGTGGATCCTCCTTGGGAGGGCCAGTTGTTGGCAGATGGCTGGATGCAGCCCCACAACTGACATAGATTTACCCATTTAACCTTTAACTTGAATGGGTTGGCCCCCGTATAACCCTAAAGGTACTCTGTCACAGAACAGGGAGGGCATTAAAAGAGTTTTCTGGAAGGACTTGTCTTTAAGATCAGAAACTTCCAAGTCAAAATAATTCAGTAGAGGAAGAAAGTAGCAAGAAAAAAGACCCTGAGTACTAGCAGAAAGACAATTTCTCATTCTTCTCTTTTCTTCTTATCCATAGATAACTTAGTAAGGAAGCAATGGAAGAACCTGATGAGACCAAAAAAAACTTTTCCTCAGTTGTGCTTTTCATTTTTGCTTTGCTTTTGGCACAGCGCTAATATGCGTCCTACATTTTTGGCTAACACCACCAAAGTCAATAATATGATAGCACTTCTGTTATGAAAAGGAAACTAGTGAAAGCTGAACTATGCTACAGCTGTATCAAGTATGCGGACACGTTTCTAGTGTCTAATGAAGTTCCTGTTACCAAACAGAGCCCTTTAGGATTCGTGGACATAAATCACCTGCAATTTCTGTACTCACGAGTAATGTCACCACTGAGCATATCCAGGCTGCGCACTGAGCTCACCAAGGTCCTGCTTCCTCACCCATGCTTATCGTTCCCGATGAAACAGAAATATTTTTTCAAGATGAACCATGATCATATCTAAAATATGTTTTGAATGCCCATTAGCCTTTTCAGAAATAACTTGCTCTTCATAGTAATTACTCTAATGTGAATTTCCTGGCTAACATGGGTAAGAATATTTTTCCTTAACAAGTGTAAGCATATTTTAAGTGTGTTATGGACTTACATAGTTGATAGCATAGTATAACTTCCTTCAAAGAGAAACAAGCAAACCCTGCCTAGGAATTGCTGTATAGTTGTGCCTGCAATGCCTTATGTTAATGGGCTCCAGACAAAAAATAGTCCTCTTTTTACTTCTCCTAGACTTCTGTACTTATTAACTTAAATCTTGAATCCTCCTTTAAGATTTAGACAGTGTTTGAACTAAAAGAGTATTACGTTATAGGCCAAGAAGAGACCAGGGTAGAAAAGCCCTTCTTGCAGAAAGCATTTTGTATTGTACTTCCAGACATGCAGAAAGGGATTTCTTTCCTTGCAGACAGAGACATTTGATGTGAGCAGGTTCAGTAAGTATCTTTTCTAGGGCATAATTCTTCTCATCCTGAAGCAGATGTCTAAAATAGGTCATTGGAATCTCATACCAGAATTCCTTTTTTTTTTTTTTTTTTTTTTTTTTTTTTTTTTTCCTCCAGTGACTAGCTTAGCAGGTTGGACACTAGACTCAGAGAGAGATGTCAATATCATAGAAATAGAGGTGAGATAAAGTCCATTCTCAGAGAGCAAGGCTCTCCTTGAATTAATTTTGAACTATCTTAATGATATAGCCAGGATTACTGAAGTTAGGTAGAGTGAATCAGTGAAAGGAAAGGAATTTGGTAATTGGCCTGTTAACTTTTGTGAAGTTTACAGGTACGTGTTATAGCAGATTTGGTCCTGTTTGTATGCTTGGGGAAAAAGTTTTATGTGAATATGATGAAGCTGTTTAGGCTCTTTTTGCCCGACAAAATCTTAATGACAGGTTGAATGTAAGTGCTATATTGGAGGATCCTTAGAGAACAAATTTATTGAGGTCCATCAGTCTGATGTACCTCAACTTTCCTGCAGAGACTTTTCTTCTCTGTTTATGTGAATACTATACCTGGAATTATTAAAAAAAAAAAAAAAAAAACAGTAGCCAAGAGTGCAGAAATAAAAAATGTCACCATCTTTGTCATCTACTCCGAAACTAGCATTTTGTTGCTGGCTAATTTAGTTGTTTGTACAAGCCCAGAAATAGCCTGGACTGGTTACTGATACCAGACATGGACTAGTTACTGATACCAGACATGATATTGCTTGTATTCATTCTCTTATCAAGGTTGTACCTGGTGCCAACCAGCTTAATAAAAAGCTGCTACTCACATTCTTTAACAATAATGGCAAATGATCTTCATGGATTTTGTGATTTCAGGAATGTTGTTTGTGGTTTCAAGTTGATTTTAAGTGAGAGCTGTAGTAAGGAACACGGTCAAACTAGCACAGAGTCATTATTATCTTCAGGCACAGGAAAAAAAGGAGACATTTAAAGCAATCTTTAGCATATCCAATCTTCTAGGGTATCCATCTTTTATTTCTTACCCTTGCCAGCAGCTCTGAAGGAAAAAAAAATCAAAAAACAAAGTCAGCTCCATTGGATTTTCCATTCTAAATAGTGTTGGAACTCTCATCATTTTCAAGATTGGTCAGATAATCTCAGAACAGTCGTTTGGAAGTCAGAATCCCTCCTGGCTCTTTTCTTACCATTCTCTTTAAAAGGTCTGGATCACCATGACATTCCTCTTATGCCTCGAGCTTTCTGAGCATAAAACTGTGTGTGGTGAAGAAGGCCCGAAGAGCTGAGAAATTCCATTTCTGAAGCTGACTCAGAAGACTGCCGGTGGGAGGTGAGGAACACATCCTAGACGTGCTCCCAGCCAGGAAGGCTTTACCTCCCCCCAGGAAGGAATTAGGGGAAATGTATCCGTAGCCACTGACAGCAGATAGAAGTGTGATGGGAGAACAAGAGGAAGAACGGAGTGATCTTTGCTACTGCTTGGGGGACAGAAAGACTGTGTCTTACAGTGGGCTCAGCTCTGCCTGCTCCAAGCTGGGAGAACTGGCCCCAGATTCTGGTCTTGAAGCAACAAGAGTATCCCCTCATAGCCATTAAGAAGCAAGAAGAATAAAATTAAAGGGAATCAGGAAAAGCCTCCTCACTCATTATGAAAACAAAACTGTGTGAGGAAACATGATGCATATTCCTTTTAATCAAAAGCAGGAAGACATTTGGAGCACTTGGGGCCATCGATTGCCCTCCGGCCCATGGCGGAAGTCCCTGGTGATGTCAATGGGAATTCTGCACGCGAGCCGCGGGGGTACCGCGCCGGCTCGCCGCGCCCCGGCGCCTCGGCGCCCGGGAAAGCTGCA